CACATAAATGTTCTATTACACACTTGGATTTGTCAAAAGAAGTAAAAATAAATAAATAAATAAATGTATTTCACAGAGTATTCATTAAACTGAAATAAATTTACCCTTAAGCAAAAATTAGGGACATGAAAACAATTTTTACTAATAACATCTGGTGGAAATTCTTGAGATAATTTATCAACTTTACAATTAGTACACTTCATATTTTGAACTTTCTTTTTGAATGCTCAAAATGTCATTGTCAGCTCAAATTATTCATTAAATAGGATTTTTTGATTGTTGATCGACATAAATCTTAGATTATCAAAAGCGCGAAAAATACTTTATTTAATAACGTTTCATTAATGCAATTTTTGTTAAGATAATATAACTTTTTTATCATCTCTTATAGTATATTTACCTAAAAGGCTAGATAATAATAATTGAATTCTAGTGGGATAAGTGGACATAGTAAAAGGTATTAAATATTGAATATAAGGCCAACAAATTTGAAATACATTATAAGATAATTGTTGTTTGATGATCTTTGCCAAATTATCAGAACTTTCATAATAACGAGGGTTATGGGAAAATGGTTGATTGGGATTTGTCGTCATTTCCGTTCTAATTAATCCTGGCACTATAAGTGACACGTGAATGTTATACGGTTTAGCAATATAATGTAGATCACGTGCAAATGAATTTATTGCTGCTTTCATGGAACTATAAAATGCTGTCATTGGTGTACTTAACCATCCGGCAATTGAAGAGGTAACTATGAAGGCGAAATGCGAAAAAATTTTAGGGTTACAAAAAAGAAATAATTGGGAATGAGCAAGAAAAATTATAATTAAAATGAAGGATCCACACGTACTTGCGATTTGACCACGCCTTCGTACTTTCATTCGTTTATAAACCGTCATTATACTAGCAATATTCCCAGTATAATTCACGTCAATATAAGGTTTATATGAGTCTTCCCATTCGAATTTACCAAAATTATCCCTTGTAGCAGCTAGTTGACCTAATAAGAATACATAACGTTAACATTACAAGCTACTAATATTCGGTTTGCTGCGTCACATGACGTGAACTTACCAGCGTTAGCAAATAACAAGTCGATGGGATATTTGTCGTCGAAATTTTCTAAAGCATTTGTTAAAGCCTCGATATTTGAAATATCAATTTTCAAAATCTCACATTTTGCTCCCTTTTCTTCGCAAACTCTGGCTACTTTGTTTAATTTTTCTAATAAAAAAGAAAAAAATTTGATTTTAACTTTCTAAAATAACGGTAAACATGAGATTAGACGCAAACAAACCTTCGTTTCGAGCCAAAAGACCTAAAATATTTCCAGGTTTCGCATACTCTTTTGCAAGAGATTCTCCTATACCGGAGCTAAAAACCAGACGAAGTTGATTATCTATGACCTTTTGATATTAAAACATTATTATTTTTTTTACGATAGATATACCTTGCACCTGTAATCAAAATGATTTTTGGATCTATTCGTTCTTTATTAGAAAATATCGATCCTATGTCTCGGATAAATAAGACGAAAGTGATCGGAATAACAATGAATACATTTGCAAACAGAACCGAAATTGCTTGAAATATTGTTTGAACAATTGGAGGAATTGTAGACGGATATGAAAGATTGATTTTATATATTAAGAGAGTCAACAAAGATATTAAAATGATTAATAACATTTTCAAATTTAAAATGGTTTTTTTTTTTTTTAAAAAAAAAAAAAAAATTATACGTAAAAAACAATTAAATAAAATATAAACTATAAACTATATTATCTATACACATGGTGATTGATCTACATTACACAATCTTTGGTTGGTTTCGGTAATTAGTAATTTAGTTTATGTAACAATATATGTCTATATGTGCTAACATTATAAAATTATTATTTGGTGAAGATTTACACATTTTAATAAATTTGTAAAATTAACCTTTTCTTATTCCGAGTAATTGAAAAACTTTATTATTGCAGTATATATTGTCAACCTTACAGAAATGATCGTCTATCGATCATTTCTAATTTACTTTAAATTTGACATGAAACCATTAAAAAATGACCATTATAACTTGTGCCTTTTCTTACCTTTTATGTTCTAAAACTTTTGATACAAAGAAAAATTACAGAATCTCAAACAATATATTCATAAAAATAATAAACTTATTCTATACCGTTATATACTTCATCTACCTTCTGAAGAAATATTATCATTTTATCAGGATGCAATAATAATTCGATTCAAAAATAGTCAAGGACTTAATAGAAATTCAGTTGAAAAAAAGCATATAACAATTAATGCATTTCAGATGTATTTTTATCTTTATTTGAAAATGAAACTAGTTTAATTTGTATGCCTCTAATCTTCAATATTTTGTTAATATTTATCTAAATCTTTTTAAATAAACCAATTATTCATATCATTAAATCTATTAAAATTAAATTTTTATAGTTATTTTATAATATCGATAATAACTAACTAATACTAAAATGTAACTATATAGTTCTTTGCAGTTATAATATCTTTTGAATAACAAATTTTCATGATACGAATTTTTTTCTGTTAAATACATATTTATTTAATTCTATTCAAAAGTCTAATAATTCATTAATAATAGAATTAAGTTAATAATTAATTTTATAAAGTTTTACTTCATTTAATTCTAATAGAAGTCTAAGATATAATATATTTTATGTTTAAGTCTAACTTTACAAGTAAAATTACATATTTTTTATAAATAGTATCTGTATTGTAAAATAAAAATTTAAAAAGGTAAAACTAGTCTAATTTAACATGATTCTGAGATGTAAGTTAGAAGTCTCATATATAAAAAATCAGGAATTTGTTTCATTAAAAGATGATTGAAAAATTTTTAATACTTCTTTATTATAAATATCTATAATTAATTTTATTAATCCTGATTTGTCTATTTTGTAGTAATATCTCAAATACTAAACATTAATATATTATAATCAGTTGCATTTTTAAGGATAGCAAATAATATATTATTTTAGCTTTCTAATATTTTCTTTTATTACTAGAACTAATTTTATTAATTTTACTTCACAAAGTCATCTTAGTTTTGCCTTAATAATTATAAAATTTCACATGATACACTTAAATCTATTTCTTGATTGATCAGATAATAAAATTTCTGAAATTTTATAAAATGCATTGCACTCTAGACATATTACATATATCTTTATTTGTATATTAATACCTAAAAGTTTCTTATCATATAAAAGCCAATTGAAAAATCTTTAAATCTTGTATTATCAATATCTAGTAAAACTATTCTAAAAAATTTAATTAATAAATCAATAGTTACATTTGAAAAGCAAAATTTAGACTGATATTTAAGAATCTATATTAATATCTATAATTATTGAAGCTATTATTATATATATTCAGGTTAAAATTAAAATTATCAAATCATTAATTTAGAAGCAGTAAAGTCTTCAAATAGATATTATCTTCACCTAAACTGCAATTGTCTTTTTGTTTTATTTCAATAGAGTTTTTATTATCAACCAGATTTTTAACATCTTCATAAGTTTTCTCAATTAGACTTGTTTCTATTTCATTATTCTGGTCAGAATTTTATTATTAAACTTATCATATCATTTTTGTCTTATTAAATAATGTATGATTATTACTATTAGAAGAACTATATAATAAATTTTAACTTTCTTCAGCTTTTTTTTCTTTTCTTTTTGATGCTTTTTTGAAGTAGATGTTGATACTATATAAAAAATTTTTTTTCTAGTTGAGAAGATTTGTAAGACCAAAAACAATTATCTAATAATCATTCTGGTGTCTTTCAAATGTTCTAGAGTCTACTCATTTACTACTATAATAATGTAGTATATAATTATATTCAATTAAAACTCTAGTTTTAGGGCTAGTATCAGCAATATTAAAACAATCATTATTAATGTAGTTTCTTTTTGGTCTTGACATCATTTAGTCTTGATATCTTAAAAAATTAGCAAGTAATTTATGATAATATTAACATAAATTTATTAAAATTAGCTAATTTATCGAAGTTCATTAAAATAAGCTTTTATTATTATTATATATTGTATAATGCCAAAGAAGTTTATTTTCAATAGATATAGAAATGATTTAAGCTTTATATAAACTGTCAATGATTAAGTTTTGTGTATATCTATCAATAGTCAGAAATATACTTTCTATTTTAAAAATATATAAAAGAAAATAATTTATACGTTTTATAGTCTTTATGCTTTTCTGTCTTTCTTCTATAACTCAATATTGGCCTAACAAATCTCTTTAAATAATAAACATGACCAGTAGTAAGAAATCCAAATGTCCTCTTTCTGATAATAATAAACAAGTTAATAATAATAAGAAAGATCACTAGGACACGAATATATAAAAGTCAACCATGATTTTATAGTCATAGAAGATAAAAAAAGTGGCAATAAATCAAGGTAAATCTAATTTCAAATTAATATAGTTTTCAACTATAGTTTTAATTTATTGGGTTTATAATGCAAAAGAAGCACATCAAGATAATTGATTTTCAAACCAAAAAAGGACAGATATCCGATTCAGTTGACATAGCTAAAGATACACAAAAAGATAACGATCAAGGTATATAAAATAAATATCTTTTTTATCAAAATACAGTATATTGGTGAATAATTAAGACGTGCGTTAACATTATAACGTTCAGCACGCTCAATAGAAACCTTGTGAATTGTATTTTTTTTATCTTTGTTAATCTCATATTCTTTGGCTTAGCTTTTAATTTAAATAAAATGAATAAATTTGGCTGCGGTTTATCATATATTCGGAAAATTAAGATCTTTGAAAAATTATAAAGAATTGAAAAAAAATTCAAATAACATCGCAGGTTATAGAAAACATTCATGTAAAGGTTTCCAAAAATATTGTCTGAAGGAGTATTAGTTCTGATCCTCTTATGCAAAGGAGATTAATTAAAATATGAATATGGACGCTAATCGAAGATGGGTGCTGGTGAAATTTTTGATCCTTGCGAGGAAAATATTTCGGATGAATATGTCGTAATCTTTCCTTGCAAGTTTTTTTTTGATAAAAATGAAATATATATATATTTTTTTTTTGCGAGCTCCTATTAGTTTTTTTTTTTTTTTTTTATAAAAAACTTCTTTACTCACTTTGAAATGGAATTTTCGAAATATTTTGACAAATTTGCGGAATATATATTTTATATTATTTTTTATTTTTTATTTTTAGAAAGGAACAAATCATCGACAGATGAAATAGTTTATAAATATTTTACGCGAAAAAAAAATTACAAATGTGAAAGAACATATAATTTATTGTTTAGAGTTCCACTACCAAACCTTTGATAACCACTACCAGCATAAACGACGCCATCAACGATGCTTGGACCACAGGCGACCGTACCACCCGTAACGAAATCAAATAAAATGTCACCAGTATTGGCGTT